TAAAACGCCACATGCGAAAACATACCGGTGAAAAACCATTCACTTGCAGCCATTGCTCGGCTTGTTTCGCTGGAAAAGGTGATTTAAAACAACACATGCGAACACATACTGGTGAAAAACCATTCACTTGCAGCCATTGCTCGGCTTGTTTCGCTGGAAAAGGAAATTTAAAACGCCACATGCGAAAACATACTGGTGAAAAACCATTCACTTGCAGCCATTGCTCGGCTTGTTTCGCTAGAAAAGGAAATTTAAAACGCCACATGCGAAAACATACCGGTGAAGAACCATTCACTTGTAGCCATTGCTCGGCTTGTTTCGCTGGAAAAGGTGATTTAAAACAACACATGCGAACACATACTGGTGAGAAACCATTCAGATGCAGCCATTGCTCGGCTTGTTTCGCCCAGAAAGGACATTTAAATAAGCACTTGCGAACACATACCGATGAGAAACCACTCAGATGCAGCCAGTGCGCGGCCTGTTTTGCCGATAAAGGTAATTTAAAGCGGCACATGCGATCACATACCGGTGAGTAACTTTTTATTTGGAACCATTGCTCGGCCCGTTTTAGTAAAAAATGTTCTTTAAAAGCACACATGCGAACGCACACCGGTGAAAAACCATTTAATTGCTGTCAGTGCTTGGACTGTTTTGCTCAAAAATTAAGCTTAATACGACACATGCGAATACATACCGGTGAGAAACTATTCAATTGCAGCCATTGCTTGGCTGCCTTCGCCTTAAAAGGAAATTTAATACGACACATGCGATCACATACCGCTGAAAAACCGTTCAAATGCAGTCACTGCTCTGCCTGTTTCGCTCTAAAAGGACATTTAAAACAGCACACATACTGGTGAGGAACCATGTAGTTGCTCACATTACAACATATTTTTATCGATGCCAGCAGATCTAAGATTTTTTTTCATATTTGTCATAGGTTTAATTGATTTAATTATCACGGAATGATGAAAATAAAGACTGTTTTTAGTTTTTATATTCTTTTTAATTTTCTTTTTCTATCTGTTTTAAGTGAAAACATAACAATACCTTCAAAATTGTGGTAAATAAAATTTGAAAACCATGGATTTAAACTTGCCAAAAATTGTTATTATTTTTATTCAAGAACACACAGTAACAAAGTCTCATAAGAACCATTAAGATGAACATTTGTTACAAATGTTGATGAACATTGGTTACAAATGTTCATACAGCTTGAGCAACTAAATGATACGGTAGGAACGCAGTCTTATGTAAAAGAACGCAGAACGTCTGAGAGGACAGAAAATAATTCTACAATGTATTAAAGCGAATAAGACAAATGTGCTGATAAAACTTAAAAAATTAAAAACAGCAGGAAAAAACTTCCGGAAGGAACGAAGAAAAATTTCCTTTAAGAAAAACAAACTTGTAAACGAAATATCAAGTAAGAAAAAACCACCCAAGTACGGAATTCGGCATAGTTAGTAACAATAACTTCGACAAGTAACGAAGTACAACCAGGTAAAGGTAAGTCCCTGGATGCTTAACAAACTTGGCCACCAGTTGCACTACACACTGTATTGACAGAATGACTCACATCTGCCGCTAGCCAGTAAGGGACTTTTTTTGACTGATCGTACCCGTATGCTTAATTTACATATTTTTGTTCTAAAGAATACGAACACATTAAGGACTCAGAATAAGTCGTAAATAACAAAGTGTGAAAAAGTTTGATGCCAAAACGGGTGGCTGATCGGAGGAAGATTTCAGGAACAACCCGAAAGACCATAAAAGGTATCAGATTTTTAAATGAAAATAAAGAAAAGGAAAAGTTTAAACCATGTAGAAGAAGATAATCAGAAAGAAAACAAAACAAATTGTGAAAAAATTGGAGTTACATACTATTCAAAAATCAAAATAACAAAAACAAATGAGAATCAATTTTCAAAATCACAACCCTGTTTTGGAAGCACAGCGGATTCAAAATAGGCAACGGAAATTGTTTCGATTAAGTAGTTAACGTTTACAATTTGCATTCTAATTTAACTATTTACAGTACTAAATTCATTTATGGGGTAGCTTCATTAATCATGATTAATAATCATTAAATTTTGTGGGTTTAAAAATGCATCCTTTGGTTTTTTGAAAAAAGATTCTTTCTGGAGGTAAATTATTTGAATTTCTTCAGTTACTAAGTGGCATCACATAGTGGCCATAGCCATATCTCCTCTAACATCAAACGCAGTAACTCCTAATCAGACAAGAATCAATCACTAAAACTCTACATGGACAAGTGCAACTCACCAATTTTAAAACATCATAAGCTCCTATCTTACAAAGTTTCTTGCAAGAAAACTAATTGTTCCACGCGTAAGGGTGTCAATCGTCTTCTTTTTTCAGGAACAACATTATTAGTTCCAGCAGAATGTTGACGTAAGTGCGCAAGCAACTTGCGACGTAGGAATCCCAAATATTTGTTTGCAACTGGTCTAAGTAGGGGGTACTTAGACTTACTTTCGCGCCAGAACTTGAGAGGATCATCATCAAGTCCTATTGAAGCTTCTGCAATTTCCAGGTCCAGGAGGGACTTAACCGTCATTTCACTTTGGCTCGATTTTTTGGAAAGCACTCTTCATTTAAGCAGCACTCAATCTGACTTTTGAACCATGCAAAAAATAGAGAGGGGGGTATGCCTTTTGAAATACCCTGTATTTTTCGAAAAAGCCATAATTTTCTGTATGTTCCTTGTCCTCCAAGCTCCTCAAATTATGTTAATTTCGTCACATCATGCATTTTTAGAAAAAAATTGAGATATTCATGACCACAACTAAATCTAGTTTGAAACTATATTCTTTGAAGAATGCACCACTAAAATCCCACTTTAAAGCATCAAAAAGTGATTTCAAACTCCTTTTCTGACGATAGGCTTCATATGATTTTGAAACTTTAAACACGTATTTCCTGAAATAGCAAAAACCGCATACTTATGCACCTTTTTCTCAAGCCCCTCTCCTCGTCTATGGTTATTTAAAAGAACGCATAATGGCAGAAATCCGTTCACCTGCAGTCATTCCTCTGCTTCTTTTCCTAATGAAATTATTGTTCAAAGCATATGGGTGGTAATACTGAAGGAATGCGTTTATCGGTTTGCAGCGTTCTTGATTCCCTCCTGTCTTATTTTATTCATCACGTGGAAAACCACTAAACATCATTTCTTGAAACGTTGGGAGATTTTACTTCACCGTGTAAAGATTATTCTGAGAAAATGTTAAGCCATGATTTTGGTTCGGTCTCCTTTTAAAAAATGAAATAAAGGGTAACTAGCTTTTGAAATAAACTCCAACCCCGAGATAAGCGTTTTCACAACTTCACCATCGAATGCAAACGATCATCAAGAGAAAAACATCACCTGCAGTTCTTGCGTTTACTCCTTTGCCTCTGCGATTGAAAGTTAATTACACCGCTCAACATGGGTTCTGTCCTGCGAACCAAACCAATTTTTTTCGATTCCTAGGTGATGTAAAAGTCCGAAAATGCCCGTAATAACGTCAGGAAAATTGGCTGGCGCTCAGGGCGCCGCTACTTTGAATTCTGGCGCCTACAAACCTAAGTGGATACTTCACGCATTGCAAAATGCTTGAAGTATCCACTTAGGTTTGTAGGCGCCAATGCGCGTTTTGCGCTGGCCGCCCGCCCGCCGTGCGGCGGCGCCTGAAGCAACTATTTCACAACAGAGGTGTTGCACATTATTATACGAAATTGAACGTATTAAGAATGACAGGTATCCTTTAAAAGTACAGATCTTTCCTCGCAAAATAAATCAAGATACTTATCGTACACAGGAAAACTCTAAGAGCCTTTAGCTGAGGCAAATAAAGAGGTTTATCCGGTTCAGGTATAACAAGGTGGGAATTTCTTGAAAGATAATTAAGTCCTGTTACACCAAAGAGGTGTAGAGAGTTTTAGTGAATTTTGTCTCATGGAATTGACGCTCCCCCATTTTTACCAAAACTCTCAACTATATATTGTTCTCCGTTGGACCGAACAGACAAAACAAAAAACAAGCATACCCTCATTCTTCCAAGACATTATACATTTCTATCCAAACACGTCGTGAGCAATGGTCGTTTGTATTTACATGTGGGCCAATTAACTTGGATCTCAACTGGCACGTGGACCAAAACTCTCGTGCCGAAAAAAACGCGTGGACGTAAATTACTGGAAAAAACAGGTGCGCGGACAAAAAATCGTTGATGAAATGTCCCATAACCGGCATTCAAGTTGTTAGAGATCTTTAAGTATTGAAGACCTGACAAAAAACCGACTTTAGTGGACTCCGCTGTTGAGGTATAAAATTATTATCTCACACTTTTTCTTCTTGTCAGTACTTGTGAAATGCCTTCAATGGACCATTAGACAAGGTACGAATTTCAGCATTCCGATAGCGATACATGTCTCGTAACTAAAATCTCTCGTTAAACACGATGAGCACAACAGAAATAACTGAAATTAACTCCTTACGAAGATATTTAAAGATTCTTGATGCGTGAATTGCTTGATGAAACCAACCGCTCGTGAAAACTCAATGCTCTACGTGATTCACATCGCGCGCTGAACGTTATCATGACAGTCTCTGCGATATAAAAAACCTGGCAAGCTCAATCTTGACGCTTTGGCTCAGCTATAGCGATTGCTCATGGTTTGAACAACACATGGCGGGAAATGAACATTGCTCGATTGAGAAGCTTGCTGAATTTGTTGTAGTGCGCGATTTGACTCGCGTAGAGCTTTGAGTTTCTTGTCAGCGGGCAGTTTAAATTACTCGTAACCAATGTGAAATATAAACGTTAATATCTTCGTTAGGAGTTAGTTTCAGTAATTTTCGTTGTGAAAATCGTGTTCTACGTGAAATTCTGGCTAAGAAACATGTATCAGATTGCTTAAATTCGCACCTTGTCTAGTGGTCCATTTTGTATTTATATTTCTCGAATGACGACCGCATGTCGTGTGGTAAAAAGATCTAAATACGACTAAATCAACTCCTCGGTGACGCAA